AATGTTAGATAGATATATTATCAAGAACCTATTAAAGATGGACAAGTAGTATTCAAATAAAAGTAGAAATAAATACAGAGGAACAGCTAGTGGCAAGGCTAATCAATGGGAGTTTATTTCGATTTTTGAAAAGTTATTTTGGATTAGTTCTATAGATTTGAAGAGTCAAATTAAGAAGAACAAAAAGTTCTCAGATAAAGATAAGCATAAAAGATAAGATAAAAAGCATAAAAGATAAGATAAAAAGCATAAAAGATAAGATAAAAAGCATAAAAGATAAGATAAAAAGCATAAAAGATAAGATAAAAAGCATAAAAGATAAGATAAAATTTCAGTTTTTCAGAAGACCAAGAAGAAACATTTCACTTTGGGATCAGAAGATAGAAAATTCAGTAAAAAGGTTTTATGCTGTTTTGACCTTTTTTATTAAAATTTATTAATTTAATATACATCATTTGTATAAAATAAATATACACTATGTTAAAACAAATTTAAGGTTTCTAAAGGTATAAGGTAGACAAAACTACAAGATGAATCTTTTAAGATTGACGCTACCTGTGACTTTAACTTCACTGACTACCAAGACTATAGTTCTACTAGATACCTAGACTTTAGAATAACTGACACTAGTGCTGATTCTGATTCATAATTTGAATCCAAAGTTTGGCATCATAGAAGAGCAGATGATTGCAACATTACTGCTAAAGTCCCTAAGAATATTTTTGATGGAAATGTATCAATCATAGTTACAGTAAATGATATCTCCTTCAATATCTTACAAAAAGTAACTGGCACAATTCTTCAAGATTGTGGAGTTAATATTGTAAAATGCAAAGCCACTGCTTCAACAGCATTAAGGAAGATGAAAAAAAAATGCAGAGGATACCGCAGAAATTGCTAAACTAGATATAAAGAAGGTTTTGGAAAAATCTGTTGTTCCTGTATAATTCATTTTGAATGTAAGACTTTGTATGAAATGAATCTAAAGAATTAAAGATTAGCTGTGCATGTTAACATGGAGGGGGTGTCACATCTTCTTGGAGTACCTGCCTTGAAGTCTTCTTCAGGTAAAGATATGTATATAGTAATCATGAAAATGCTAGAAGAATATGACCTCATTTCAAAAGTATGTGGAGTATGCTTAGATACTACTCATTCTAAGAAAGGATCACAGGATTGCAAGAGTGGTAGACAAATACCTTCTTTAACTAGTATGTAGGCATCATATCACTGATCTTAGAATGGTTCATTTGTGCAAGCAGTATTAAAAGAGAACAGCATAGGACCTGAAAATCCCTTATTTGTAAAGTTCTAACACTTGTTTGAGGACCTTTGAGAGGACAACTTGAATATGAAAAAATAACCTGAACCCTTTTAACTGGAATACTGTGGAAGAAAAAGTTTTGAAGGAAGCTGCAAGATAAACTTTGGATTATTGTGAGATCTATATTACTAAAAAATGCAATATGAGGAATAAATGAAGAGAGTTGGCTAAACTAACCATACTGTATTTATCCCCTTCTGCACATTTTAAACTAAAGAAAATTGGAGCTGTTCATCATGCTGGGTTTTTAGAAAAGAGTTTATACTACCTTAAAGGGATCCCTAACTGCCTAGACAAGTTGTGTTCATATTAAAGAAAATGTTTAAAAAAAAACATTTGGGCTAGATTTTTTTGATTAAAACTTTATGATGAATGCACACCATTAAATTTAAAATTCACGTTTTAGTCGAAGCTTGCCATTCCAATTTTTTTTTTGGTCTGTATAATGTTAGCCGCAATCTGCAGACTTGATAATTTATTCCATGCGTGTTAATTCATAACAGTTTCGGTATATGACATCATCGTATAAATTTTTTCTTTCAAAATGTCTTATTATTTTTTTGCCAAAATAACCAAATCATGTTAATTGTATAACTTTTTACTAAATCCGAAAAAAAGTTTATGATACAATTAAAAATTAAATTTATAAAAATAAAAATTTAATATATAACAAATAATTATAGTAAAACATACTGGTTTAAACTAAATATAAACTAGATACTAAAAGAATAAATTTATTAAAGCGTAAAAATTAATTTAAAGTGTAAATTGAAAAAAAAAATTGAGTGACTTGAATAAAACATATAAACTTAACTAAGTAGAAAATAAATATTAAATGACTTATTTTACTAATAACCGTTCAAATCATACTAAATTAAAGTTAAAACAAATATTTGTACTAAAATATACAAGAAATAGTTATAATATAAATATAAAAACAAAGAATTGCATTAAATAGTTCGCTACCAGCCGAACAAAAATCTTTTTGTAGCAACCGCACATTATTTTTGAATAACGTTTAAATAAAATTGACAATTAATCAAAATTCGATAATAATAAAGTTTTTAACACACTTCATTAAACAATAAGATACGATTTAAGAAAATGCTTAAAACTATTGTTTTTGTCAGTAATAACTAAAACATTAAGTCCGATAATTTAATAAATAAAAATATTTTTTCTTCAAAATAAAAATAATATTTTTTCTTTAAAATAGTTTGGTAAATACTTAACTAAATTCTACAATGCTTTTTTTACAGCGTTATTGCTGTTTTATTTTATAACTTAATTTAAAGTTTTTTTTATGAAGGATTATTCAAGAATTTTTAACTTTGTGATATTTTTTTTATTATTACACATTATAATTTTATAAATATTTTTTCTTGATTATGTAGAGAATTAATTAAACCTTCAGAACAAACAAATTCTATGTGTCTAGAATAGAAATTTATGTACTAAACAGGATAAATTGTAAAGCATACTCGAAAGCCGCTACCAGTGGCTTGCCGTAGTGAAAGAGTTAAACTAAACTAAATGTAAATTAAACATAAAACAAACAACTCTATTGAACCATATAAACTAAATATAAAACGAAAAACCGAAAAATCTCTGTCTGCGAACTCTAATAATGACAAAATATGTATAATTGTGTCATGATTTTGGCTGGCTTCTACAACATAAATAAATAATAATCATAAAACAATAATAAAACAAGTAAAAAAAAATTATAAATATAAAATATATATATATATATATTTGTATAATTTTTTACTAAATCAAAATATTTTTTGTGATTTAGTAAAAAATTATACAAATATTTGATTTTCTGATTGTAGTAGAAAAAATACTTATATCTTTAAAAAAACAACAACAAAAAAATGCTATCTTAAAAGATATTGTGATGACGTCATATACCAAAACTGTTATGAATAAGTCTGCAGATTGCGGCTAACATTATACAGACCCTGAGAACCAAAAAAAATGGTGAAGGCGACCTGCGACTATTATGCTAATTTTAATTTTATTGGTATGCATTCAGTATTTAGTTTCAATCAAAAAAATTTTAAACATTTTCTTTAATATGAACACAACTTGTCTCAGCAGTTATGGATTCCTTTAAACTTCAGCTTTTGTGCAAGCAACTGACATGTGTGTGTGAAAATAATAATCTACTTGTAGATTTGAAACATCTCTGAGTTCATAGTATGTTTTTTCAAAAGGTGGTACCTTCAAACACATAAAGCGATTCAATGTCCTACTTCTGATCTTGATGCTATCTTTCAGATGAAAGAGTATAAGAAAGTTTGTTCCAATTCAGAGGCAGTTTATGCTATGTTAGCATCTCTTCATAAGCATACATGTCATCTTGATTTAACGATTGTTTCCTTGACTCTTTTGGATAAAAATACTTCTATGGATAAAAAAAACAGTCATTGCAGATGCTTAGCTTTCCTTACAAATACTGAATCCAGATTTATTTAAACATAGAAGCAAATATAGAATAGATACAATTAATATCATAAATAGTATAAAAGTATCAATCATCTTTCTTTTGGTTAACAAGTTTTCTTATCTAATTTTTTTCATTGATTGGGTTGAATGATAAGGGAGAGAGACTGGTTGTCACTTTACCCCAATATTGGTGCACCAAGTCCTTGTCTAAGAATTTTTAAAACTTTGATAAAATGTTAATTTTTATCAATGATTATTCTAAGCAATGGAATGAGCAATTGGAATGATGCAACAGTTTGTGCAAAGAAAATGAATAGTAATGAAAAAGTAATATTATATAAATATTATGAAAAAGTATTAATATATAATAAGAAAGTCTGATGTCAACTAAAAGAAATCTGGACTTAAGAAATTATTACTCATTTTAAAATACTTATTGCAATTAATGCATATCTTTTGTCTTGATTTGTAAAATTTTTTATCAAATGTATTAAATAAGTAATTGTGTGTGTATGTATGTATGTATGGATGTATGTATGTATATATATATTTATATATATATATAGCAGTAGTGGTGTAGTGGTAGAGCGCTCGTTATATATATATATATATATATAAATATATATATATATATATATATATATATAAATATATATATATATATATATATATATATATATATATATATATATATATATATATATATATATATATATATATATATATATATAGCAGTAGTGATGTAGTGGTAGAGCGCTCGCTTCATAAGCGAGAGGTTCTGAATTCAATCCCCACCACGTCCCTGGTAGTACCGCGCTCAACTAGTTTCTCTGCGCAGCGGCCTTGTTCGTCAAGGCTCATGTTTCGGAGTTATAGAGTTGAGAGAGGGTTATATAACCACAACTAAGTAGCCTCCTTGTTTGTAGTGGCCTTCTCGGCCTTGAGGAGGTGAATTAACAATATATATATATATATATATATATATATATATATATATATATATATATATATATATATATATATATATATATTATAAAATTTATATTACGACTAATCACATTTATATTATAACTAATCACTCTTATTTATATACATAAAAATATTTATAAAATTTATATATGATTAAGATTTCTTTTTTTTATTATAGCATTAAGTAGTAACAGTACAATAGCTGTTAAAAATACAATAAAAATTTCAAGTAAAAAAAAAAAAAAATTTAACTTAC